GGCAAGCAGTCTGCTGTACAATTGTAGGCATGGTCAGCAAGTTACCTAGGCTACAAGTGTTTGTGAGTGCTGTTTTAGAGGGCTTTATTAGCAGTGTGCGCTATTGATTTGAATGTCAGCCTCATTTTCCAGTAAAAATAATACTCTGATTTTTATCCTAATATTAAGTAACTAGGGGCAGAAACTTTCAGGAGTTTCCAGTACAGGAAATCAGACTGTAGATGCTCTTAGGAAGACCTGGGGTTTTCTCTGTTTCATCTGGAAGCATTTAGCATAAAGTTTGTATTGCTCATGTGTAATCTGTGGTTAGTTGCAATACTAGCTTTAGAAAAACTATTTGTTCCTCCTACCCTAGCAGGCGTGTCTGATAGTGAAAGGGGGGAAGGAGAGACGGTTGGGGAGCAAGAAGAAAGATGGCATTTCTTTTCTTTTGTTCCATTGACTATTTCAAATAGGAATCCATAGTGTTAAAAGCATTCAGGCTTGTGATCTTTCTGAATTCTTTGCAACAGAAGAATCGAACTCTTATTTCTCTATAATCAAAAAAGCAAGTGACAACTAAGAGCTGGCATTTTCTGAGGGGACCTTGGGTCAAACAGGGTGCCTTGAGTCTAACAAGGTTGAGAACCACTGATCTAGATGTTCTTCCTTTTTGCATCTCCTCTACCTCGGGTACTGTATTAATATTTGGTTGTATTACCTTGTGGAGTTTTCTATTTCAGAAGAAATAGAATTAATTAGTCTTATCTAAGGTCTTGCCTTAATCGTGGTTTTTATTAAGGTCACAGAATCCATGAAACAATGGATATTTCCGCAAATTTCTATAAATGTTATTAAATTTATGATACTGTATTTTGAACACGTACTTTTTCAACCATATTATCTTTGAAAAGAGGATATTTGTATTGGTGCTTAACACTGAATCATTTCACATCGGCGTATGGGTGGTAGTCATTAAATAAGTGGTTTACATTTTATGGTAACATTTAATCTCTTGAAAATCAGCTCTTCATACTCAACTTGGAAGAGTCCAGTTGTAAAGGCCTGTCAAATGTGCGCTAAGAATTTGTAGCTTAAAATAATAGGATATTTTTTCACTGGTAAATTGTTCATTAAGTTCCAGCATTTCACTTTACATTGATATACAAAAGACTAAAGGAAGTAAAACTGGATGCAACAATCACTTGACACACATTAGTGAGGTAAAATGAGCATAACTTTATCTAATCAACTTATCTTCACAAAAAGATTCAAAAACTCCTTTCCTGTATAGTGATTTCCTGAGATCAAAAAGTTGTCCCTCCCACAGCTGTCAGTACTCCATCTCTATAATTGCACATGGCATCCTTTCTGCTACCACTGCTTAGTCTCACTCTTTGGCTCACCCCATGCATCTTGTACTTTGGCCTATTGATATGTCTATTTACATGATGACAGACAGTGCCTTAGTTTTCCTGGCATTTGTTAACCTTCAGGGGAAAAATGCTGGTTGAGGCTGCATGGGCGTTCCCTCACATATAATAATATTGGCTTATATAGTCAATATTATATTTAAAAGGCCGGGTTCTAGAATTGCCCGGGCTTCCACAAGTTGTCCTGATTAGCCTTGTTGCTGCCTGAGGTAAGGAGACAAGGTCACTGGGAGGACAATTATGTTTTTATATCCTGTGACTGTCTTGTCCTCTTCTGGATTATGAGGAACCATTTTTTCCTCTCTCCTGATCTCACAGAATAACTAATTTATGGTCCCTTTTTCTCTCCTTCTACTGTCCTGTCCGTCCCCCCCCCCCCCCCCCGCCTTTTTTTTTTTTTTTTTTATAAGTGTTCCTGGCAGGGTTATGTCTAGGAATCTGAGGATTGTAAAATTTAAGAAATAAAACATAGCACTTTTACTCATCCTTGTGTGTCTCCCAGCAGAGGTGGGTTGTCCCTCCTCTCTACTCTACCACCTAACAGATTTGTAGCATTGTCTTCTCTGTATCAGATTCAGAGGAGGAAGAAGGCCCAGGGTTTCCATTGCAGCCTTC